ACAGTTTGTAACTAAAGTTTCCTTAGGCTGTTGTGATGACAGACAAATTTACTCTGTACCTGTCTGTACTGTAGTTGGCAGTTCTGGGTCTAGGTTTTTTGAGAGTTGAGACATCCACATGCACATCAATCTCTACCTAATATGTCTGGGAGTGCATAGGATCCCAGTATTCCTTTGGTCAACCAGGAAAACAATGAATCAGCATACCACATTCTCCCTGCTTAGAGCTCAGCTAGTGAAGCCTTAGACTAATGGGTTAGAACAGCAACTTAATACTTGTTTTAATTAATTGCCACTTTCATTTTGGGTGTGTTTTTCAACAACAGATCTGCACTCTGCCCCTCCCGATGTCACCACAGGCCTCATGGAGCATTCCCATTATGAGCGTCCACAGGTGGCTTCTGTGAGAGGTGTTCCTCCGGGGTACAGTGGGAGCGTCCTGGAAACGGCAGATGGTGAGCATGCCTCTTTTCCCCTTTGAAACATCAGAGCACAGGTTTTCTCTTTAGGTTTTGACTTTAGCGTATTCACCCTGGACAGTCTAAGCCAGCATCAGGTGTGATCCATCAGTGTGGGTAAACAGAAACCAGCATGTGCAGAGAATGTTATTACAGGAAGCATGTGGAAAAGTAATCAGAAATATCTTTGGAATTGGTCAGATGGAGAGTAGAGAGAAAAAAAATCTCTAAATTTAGATTGACTGCAAAAGGAATCTGGATCTACAATATAGTAGGGAAATGAGAAGCCATGGGAAGCTTCTGTATTTAGCTTCAGTGTGGCAGAATGGAGCAGGTCTTATCAGCACAAGTGCACGCACCTGCAGCAGAACAGTCCCTGGCACCCTCCACCCTCCGCAGCCTGTGAAATTGGTACAACAGCAATGATGGTTCTGACATGCAGGCGAGGAGATGTCAGTGTGATTTTCATAATGTCCTTGTCTACCATTTATTTTTGAAACAGTTTTCAATGTCTTTTATCAAAATCATGTCAAATTTTTTCCCAAAGTACCAATTTAAATCATAGAAAAATTCAGAGGATGTTAGATCTAGGACCTTAATGTATATTTTTATATCCTAAGCAATATGTCAGATTTTGTCAAAGTCTTACCTCCTTGTTCAGATGCAAAAGAAAAATACTGAGTCAACATGAAGCAGGCTGTACATTGGTTAGACATGTTTTTAAGTTGATTTATTACTCTCTACATTTAAAAAAAAACAAGAGCTTAATTGAGGGGTAATTGACATATAATGAACTTCACTTATTCAAAGTATGTGTACAATTTTATAAATCAAGATAATGAATGTATCCGGCACTCCCCACAGCGGGCTCATGTTCTTTAGTAATCCCACCCTTCTGCCCTTTCTGGCTCTCCCCATCCTTCAGGTACCCACTGATTTACTTTCGGACTCTGTAGTTTGCATTCATAAGAATTTTTTTTTTTTTTTTTTGTCTTTTTGTCTTTTTCCGTGTCCGTCAACGGATCGCAACCCTCAGTGTCACGCCCATACCGGACCGGGGACCGGCCACGGGATCGCAACCCTCGGTGTTGCTCCCGCGCCTCGCTCA